ACGATCATGGTTGTTCAGAGATTCGAATGTTCACCAACAAGCTAGATGATTCTATTCGATGCTCGTAACCACCTTTAATCATACTTATTATAGTTAGCGAAGTCAATCCTTAATAGTAAAACAATTTATCTAAATTTTAAGCGTTTGCTATAACAGTATATTAAGTAATTCATTACTCAAGTTACTGATGCTGGATGGTTGGTTGACATTTACTGTGGGTACATCGAAAGTCTCATACTGTTTCTAGAATCTCATTAGTCATAATGGTTATATCCACCTTTCAATATGTTCATGCATACAAAAATCAAGTTGTTGTACTAGCTGCTTCGGTCGACAAACACCTCACCAAGTAATTCAATCCCAGTGACTAGACAACTGCCATACACATTCACGGATATTGTCACAGTGAAACAATAACGAGTTATGGCGGCCACTTTGCATAGAATGGTCAGGCACATGTGCTGATGGCATTGTTAACAACATCATCATTGTTCATGTTTATCTGTTGCAATAAACATCTATGGCCAGTTTAGCTACTGTATGCTGATTGTGAGTTATACACAAGTTGCGCAAAAAACACTTCTCATACCACCTCGTCAGTTTAGTGGTGCAGTCGAGATCTAGTCTGTAGCGGTAAATAATTCCCCAAAATTATTGACCACAGCAATCACTCACTGGATGCTGACCACCACTGTTTAAGTCGACTTGTTTAGCTGAAGGCTTCCGGTCAAGCATCCCCGCCATTTGGTACCCCGTCGTGTAACGTGCACGATCACTAGCTAGTTAAGCGTTTGTCTGAAGGCTTGTTTTGGTCCCAAAATATATCTCTTGGTTTGGACGATCAAATATTGGCTTTTGCTTTGTCTTTGGTACGCGAGAATAAATTAATTAGAAGTTGCTGAACGAGATATCCGTCAACCTCTAAAAGTCATCCTGTCACATTGATTTAGCATCACGTAATTACCGCTATGTATTACAGACATTTACATTTCACTCACTTTACAACTATCTAAAATAACAAGTGGTAAGGCCTTATGACGCTCTTACTCTACCATTGAACAATGGTAGTCCTCAGCACCCAGAAATTATCATCTTATATAAGCTCATTACGTGACATCAGAAGACAAACGGTTCCGAGCTCAGAACTCATGTTTCTTTCATCCTACAATCAATCTCCCACTCCAGCAGTACCCACATCAAATAATGAACAGTTCTTTTGAGCCTTCAACTATGAGCTGCGTGTTAAAGTGCTATCAAAAACACTCATGTTCAAGTGACTTCTAAATAGTAATACATATCTAAGTGCAGTTAGTCACCATTTCACCTCGAAGATTCTTCGCACATTTGGATACCACGAAACTATATCAGTCTAACTACTTCCTACTACAATCAAAATCTCAGCTGATTGTTGATTTTGTCGAACAATTAGTGCTGATATTCTACTAATAACCAACTCTTTCTTGGCCTGATTCTGCTGTTCTTCTAGTTGCTGTTCCAGGTTCTCAGTGCTCAACAGGTCCCTATAAATCTTCCTACTCTCAGTAGCCTCCTTTACTAAATCAAATCAACCCTGGCCGATCATAGAAGGAGAGTAAAACTGGGAGGAGTCAGAGTGGTTCGTCAATTCAACTGAACCTCAGCAATTAATTCGTTCATCTGTGCCGATTGAATCATACTGCTGACAAATGGGTTTTCAAGTAACAGGAGCGCGGTTGTTGAGTTATGGTGTGAGTCTCTTCACACTATAGTTCATAAATGCATTCTAAGATGTTCAATTCTCTGAAAGTCTTTCAGGCAGCGTTACTAACTGGCTTCCCTGACTATCTCCATCCATTATTACCGTGACTTTATGAGCCGTGCAATTTATAATCAATCGATTGCAAACAACAATGTTGAATCCTAGTATGATAATGATGCCAGTTTAACCCCTGATGCTCGGTTCAAACAACTCGGAGGCAGTTTCAAAATGTATTTCGCTGGCGAAGGTGTTTTCTGGGAAGTGATGTTCTTACTCCAGTCGACGATGCAATCGTATTTCACCTCGAAACTTTCGCGATCATACATTTGACTCCACGGTTCATAATTAGCAACAACAGTTTGGTACCACTACCCTCAGCGAACAAGAAATTATTTCAAGTATATTGCGGCTCTTCCAATCCATTCAGCACTAGAAAAGGAAGGCATTGGTATAATTGTGTGCCTTGAAATGGGTTGTTTTTTCGATTTTATGTTTCTTTCCCGATATCTTCACCACAAACTTAAAAATCAGGTGAGAATTCTGGATTCCTCATGAGTTTTTAACCTTACCTTATTCACTAGTTAAACAGTTTTATAGCTTGTCCCAAGCTTGGGAAAAGAGGGAGGGTTGGACATCAGGAGAGCAGTTGACAGGTGAAGGTCAGAGTGAATGAACAGAGACTATGCACAGAATATCCACCTAGAAATGAAGTAGAATTACAGAAGCCTAGAAAAAAGATCGGCTACTGCAATGCATGCGATGGACAGCGGACATAAGACTGATTTCGACAGTGTCAAAATTCTTGGAAGAGGATTTCATTCACATAAAGTAAGGTTGACCTCTAAAGCCATGCATATTTTAACCACATCAAATGCAGTGAATAGGAAAGAAGGGATAGACTTTTCACATACATGGCAAATTCTAATTAAGCAAGACAGATGAAAAAAAACCTCTATTAACCTCCATGACCTTTATAAAAAGTATTATCATGTGCATCACATATGAACTGACGTCTCTTCCATATGAAGAATAACATACACTCACACACACTCATACAAACAAATATACACAATAACAATTTGACAGCTGCGGAGCCAGCTACATCGGGCGTACAATTAGGCAGGTTCATCATCTTATTTCCGAACATCATCCAGCATGGTTAAGCAAGGGACGAACAGGATCTATTCTTAGATCTATTTTAGCACACCTTGTAGATAGTGAGCATAAGGTTGACGTTAATACTGAATTTAAAATTATTTATCGCATTCCTACTAATCTTAATTTTGCTTAACGAGTTCGTCTTCTACATACAGCTGAAGCAATAGGAATCCACCTGAAGAAGCCAAATTTGATAGTAGTCATTACAAATATATGATGACTGCTTACATATTTCTATTGGTACAAGTGTGTATGGGCAAATGACATTCAGATAAACTGACTTCAATTTATGTAAAAAATTTCGACTATATATTTTGATGATTAGTAAGAACTCGAATAAATCTGCTGAAGAAGCTGTGGCTTACACAGCGAAATGTACAGAAAATCCTTGTTTTGATTTTCTTAAACACGCTAGGATTAATTCAAATTATATATATATATATATATATATAAGTTTATTAAACGAAGTAGGCATTCGTTGAGACATGCTTACTGCTCCATAGATATAAGGCATATATCATCCTGGAGATTGATAATTTGATTTAAGGGTGTTGGAGTTTGTGCATTTTTCAAATCATAACTATAAATTCACGGAACCTAAAAGAGTCAGTTTCCATGGGAACAATCAATGGAGGAGTGTAGACCTCAAGGTGAATTTCGCTAGAAAATTTGTTAGTTAAGAAGGTTTCAATATGCATTCATTAATTTAGACATCGTATGTAAGGCGACTTACATGGTAGTTTAAATCATACCATGGCAAGAGATGATGTATAGTAATAACTGTTGGACCTTTTTTAAGAGACTCACTATCAATTCGACTTCTAATTGATCCCAGGACATTTAAGTTTTGCATTAAAAATATTATTATTCATTTGGAAAGCAGAAGTAAAATGCTTCAAATTTATCTTTTTCTACTATTCAGCATGTTCATATCAATATTTTATCATTATGTTATATTGGACATTTATATCGAAATGAGCCTCACGCTTGGTTCATACGGGACTGACGGAATGCATTGTTGGTGATACCTAAAACACAATAAAGAAGATATCACCACCACCCTAATGCTTTGATTGGTTTCAACGATTTCTACTAATTGTTTTACCTCAGAACAGCTAAATGTAAGAATAAAACAATAAAGACAGAAATTCAGGAAGATAAGATAAAAATTTCAAGTACATTCTTTAAATAAGTGGTGATCAGAATTTTTAAATAAGCAGTACAGGTCAAAGTTGCAAAACTGAATGAATAGTACTCCTATCTTTGTATTCCTCTATTTGTAATGATGAAGGAGAACCAACCAGTTTTATGCACATTTCGAGAACGATCTGAATAATTTGTTTGTCTTTAAGATTCATAAGACACCTAGGTAGGAAGCTTCCATGATGTCTATCCTGTTCTTTACAGCCTTCACTTCATGTTCAGTGGTTCTACCAAAGCAAATTTTTTTTGTGATCTCTTGAAAACCAAATTCTGAAAACATTCCTTTCACACCAGACGATGATGAAGTTTCTAAACTATATATACATTTCAATGATGATAGCTATCTGAATATGGATTTTTCTCCAGATTCGTTAAATCTTTTTTAATAAAGATACATTTAAAAATCTCAGGGCATCATTTTCTTCACATTCTCGTGCAAAACTATGATCCAGGTGATATGGTGTGAAGCCCTATGATAACAGTAATAATGATAACAACAACAATACTTTCCCCCTAGATTTGTTTTCATACGGTATAAAAATGTCCTCTGAATATCCACGATATATTTCCGTCTATTTTATGCATCTTCTGTTGCTAAATTCTGAAGCATGAAATGACCGTAGGCGCTTTTTACTGCAAAACTATCAACTTGAACGGAATTTCTCGTCAGGAATTGGAACTGAAAAGTATTAGTACAAAAAAGAATAGGTACAGGAGTAAAGGGAACATATCAATTGATGGTATGTATCACTAAAGTTGTATACACCACTAACTACTTGACTTTTGCCCAGTAAGTATTTCATCCTGTGACATTAAAATTGCTATTCTATAATAAGACAGCTTATTTGAAATTGCAACTTGTCATATCTTAATTATTTTTGTTCAACGAAACTTTTTACAGGGTGGTATTGCATCGGATTGCTGTCAGTGGATCTGGTGTTCTTCCTGTTATGTGTGCAGACTTCGGAGGGATATGAATTATACGCTGAGTCAATTAGGCACTTTAAATTAAAAAAAGAACATGTCAGCGTATCTCATCGACTAGGATGATAATAACAAATATATAATCATGAACAAATAAATATTTTCAAGTGAATATTTGAATTTTTAAATGAAACATGTACCAATTAATTAAAAAGACAGTCTTAATGGAATTTGGAAGCACTATCGCCTAATTATTCATTGACTGTAGACTTCAATTCCTTTAAAAATTGTGTTACTATGCTCGTGTTCTGATTTAGCTCGTGTAATTGTTCTATTTTTTGTCTTCATTTTTGGAAAATACAGATAAATTACCCAGCTAAAGTCAAGTGCTTAGCTGGGAAATTATAAAAGCACTAAAGAGTTTCTTCTCCGAAAGAAATCTTGGAGTCGAAAATGCTTCCTGCTGGTAATCAAGGTATTAAATCAATACAGGATTGTGTGATTCATTACGTATGCAGACATATCTATAGGGAGTAACTTTTAATTTGAAATCAAGGTAAGAAATGTAGAGTAGTGATAATAATGTGTGTAATAATCGCATATGCGGTAACCTCTTGTCAAAGCTGAACACACAGGTCTTGGGGATAAAATACTTCTATCTAACCTTCTCTGATCACACAAGTAAGGTAACATCCAACCGTAAATGACTTACTGGATTTACTAAAAAACAATGTCGTTGTAACTCCTCCATATTGTGCTCTAATCTCCTTATGGCCTACTCAGCTACAACTGATTTCTTAAGCTTGCCACTCTCAAACGAAACACTAAATCTAATTTCTTCAATAGCAAATACAGTAATCCGTGGAGCAGACAAAAAGGGTGAAATCACACCTTTTTTGGACATAGGTAGGTACAAACGGTGTCTGGAAAAATATATTAGTCTCTCTTTTATAACTCACTTAAAATATCCTAAATATTTGCAAGAAAATCTGTTTGGAGCTAGAAATGAGGTAACCACATGAATATTGTACAATAAAACACGTAGTAATACAGTAATATTTACTTACAGATGGCGTTTCGAGCACAACTTGATGCTTATAATCATATCAAAGTGATAACATCTTTCAGATAGCTCCGTTATTTTTAACCCTTTATTTTTATTGAAGATAGTATTTTCAAAATCTAAAGTATTGACACTGCATTATTCTTACCGCAAGTGTTTGGTTTGTATTCAATGAAAAAGGATTCAATAACAAACCTCCCCCTGCATCTAACTGTAATACTCTTTGGAACTCTAGCTGTGTCTCATTGTAGTGTGTGATTATATGCTAGTTCATGCATTACGACTGCTGAGTTTTTCTCTAGCTAGTCATCTTTTTCAGATGAGTCAGCATACACCTGGCTGAATTCCTGACTCACCATAATCAAATGGACTTGGTCATGTGATTGACCTCACAGTCATTGTGAGTTATTTTGTAGATTACACTATTCTTTCTAATTGGGTCTTATGAATACATATATTTTATACGCAAAAGTCGCCTTTAATGAAAACAAAACACGTAGATCAGCGAAGAGTCTCTTTTCGGCGAATTCATTTTCTTAACTGTACAATCGCAAATATATATGTTATTCTGTATGTTTGTGTATATTAAGTTTGTCAAACAAAATTACAATTGGCTAAGGTTATTTTAACTAAACAGGTGAAGATTGGTAATACAAGTCAAGAAAATTAGGTGTTAATGAAACTTGGGTAGTAACAAAGGAGATGAGTTGTCACAATCAGATGTTAAAAGAAGTTATGTGATAATATGAGCATTTTGATGAGTGAGTTTTACTCAGGATGCACATAGTAACAAAGTAGATAATACGAAATTATGTAAGAGGTTTAAATGAATAAAAAAACTATAAACAATTAAAGAACAGGAAAAGAAACAAAATTAAGTCATCAAAATAGAAAAAGAACTCAAATCAAATAAAAACATTGTTACCATGAGAGTAGAAGTGGTTGAGTAATATTCCTTTGTATTCACAGCTCCGGTTTTTCTTTGTGAATGGCCAGAACTTCAGCGACACAAAGAAGATGAAACCGCATTGCCTTTGATAGGTTATTCTTGACTCTGTAGATTACTTTGAAGCAGGAGGCCTTGTTGAGATGGAATTATCAGTATTAAGAAGATAGTTGCAGCGAAGAAAATTTTCTTTTCGACGAAGTCATCATCTAGGCTGTACATTCGTGTATTTATATCAAATGGATGGGAAAGTTCCAGAATAATATCCGGTCAAGGGTCAAATTAATAAAAATTAAAATTGGGAATTAGAATGCCATAATAAACAGGGGGATGGATAAAACAAACAAAATAGCATTAAAATAACTAAGAAGACTGACATTGTGCAATTAGGGGTTAGAAATGTAGAAATAACAAAATAGACAGGATGTTTGGATAAAAACTAATGTGATGAATAATTGTTTATGCAATCAGGGATTAAATATGTAGAAATAGTAAAATGACAAAATAAACACTAAGTTCGGGTATGAAAATATGGTAGTGTAAACAGGGATTAAGAAAAACTTGAAATAACATGAATAAACAGGAAGTTTAGATAAGAAAGGCGATGGGATGGTGATTACTAAAAATTACCTGTTTATGATGGCCATGGCAAGGACAGGGGTTGGACGTATTTCTTTTGTATACAAAGCGTGGGTTTGAGCTTTTGTATAGCTAGCGCCTCGGCTATGCCCAGATGTCTTGATTTTACTCCCTTTGATGGGTTTGATCGAATCTTGTAAATGATTTTGAAGGATTTTTCGAGTGGCGCTGAATGTCCTGAATTCACCAGGTGTTCTGTCACCGAACTATTTACCCGTTTTCGTTCTCCTTTTACTAGCCAGGCTGGATAGTGTTCACGAGCGCGTTTTTCAAGTCGGCGCATGGTACGGCCAACGTACTCAGCTCCACAAGAGCAAGTAAACTGGTATATGCACGTTGAGGTGGCCCAATGCGACAGCTTGTCTTTCGCGTTCTGGCTGAACAGTTTCTTGCAGGAAAACGTCAGTCGTAGGCTAGCGGCGAAGTATGTTTTCCTCAGCGATTTTGAGAGGCGTCTGCGAAGGATTTCTGCTTCAATATCACCTTTGAATTCTAGATTAAGCAGAAGCATTTTCTTTGGGACGGATTGGACTTGTTCAGAAGTCTTCTTAGGTTTGAGATTCTTTTCTATGAACCTGGGCGGGAAACCGTTTTCCATCAGGGTTTTTCGAAGATTACGCAGTTCTTCTTCAACCACTTCCTCGCTGCATATCTTCCGAATCCTCGAGGAAAGAGCGTATATCAGGTTCCTCTTTCTGCTCAGGGGCACGAAGCTTTGAAAGTTGATGAATTGTCCATTCCATGTAGGCTTTTTGTATATGGACCTTTTCAGGGAGTTGTCGGCGTTTCTTGTCAGATGGACGTCGAGGAAGTGGAACATTCCGTCGGATTCAGTCTCAAGTGTGAAGTCGATGTTTGGGTGGGCATTATTGAAGATTTGAAGTAGGTTTTTTAAATCACAGTTCTCATCACAAATAATGAAAGTATCATCGATGTATCTCTTGTAGAGATGGAGGTCGTTGATAGTTGTTGATAAGGCGTTGTTCTCTAAGCTAGCCATAAAGCAGTCGGCTAGAAGGGGTCCTAAGGGAGAACCCATTGCTACTCCATCTACTTGCCTGTATATTTCTTTGTTGAAACTAAAGTATACGTTGAAGGTGCATCGAAGTAACAGTTCTTTCAGGTAATGAATTGGTATACCGACATTGATGTTATTGGATTCAATGTAGTCACAAAGGAAACATACGGTTTCTGTCAGTGGAACGTTGGTGAAGAGAGACACGACATCCAGGGAGACCATTTTCTTTTCTGCCACATTGACATTCTTAATTGAATCAACAAAGTCGAATGTGTCGCGGAGGTTATGTCTTGACAGCTTCTCTTTCACCGGCCCGAGAATCTCCACCAGCCATTTCGCGATTGTATGATATGGGGAATCTATCATATCTAGTATTGGGCGGAGTGGGACGTCTTGTTTGTGTACCTTGGGTAAGCCGTACATACGTGGCGTTGTAGAACCAGATGGGCGCAGTTTAAAACGGTTGATTTGAAAAGTTCTGCATTCTCATATGAGATTGGGACAAGATCTTTCGTCTGGTCGATTAAATTCTCAAATTGGACTTTCGTGTTGAGTTCATTCACTTTTGACGTTGCATCACAAAACTTAGGCACAAGTGCTAAGATTTGCATTTGAATTGGAGATAGTTGAACATCAGAATAATTGTACACGTATTTTTCTGGACAAGTAGGAAAGACGGTTTCTTTTGTAACGGACTTTAGGCTTTGGTTTAGTTTCATTATAACATCATCTGTTCTTTTCTTTGTAACCGTATTGGAGTAGTTTTCGAATGCTGTTCTCTCGTCTTCAGATAACTCATGGAGAACGTGGGAGCTTTTTGAGATATTCTGCTCTAGCTCAGGTAGTCTTGATCGCACTGCATCGATGTGATTCAGAGTGTGTCGTTTCAGCGTACGTGAGTTAGGGGATATGTGATTTCGTCTGAGATGCGTCCAAAATAGTTTGGGATATTCATGTTTCTCGAGATAATTCTTCAAGCAGAAAATTAATGCGTTCGCCTCAGCAAGCTTGACGGCGTCCATATACAAAAAGCCTACATGGAATGGACAATTCATCAACTTTCAAAGCTTCGTGCCCCTGAGCAGAAAGAGGAACCTGATATACGCTCTTTCCTCGAGGATTTGGAAGATATGCAGCGAGGAAGTGGTTGAAGAAGAACTGCGTAATCTTCGAAAAACCCTGATGGAAAACGGTTTCCCGCCCAGGTTCATAGAAAGGAATCACAAACAAAATAGCATTAAAATAACTAGGAAGACTGACATTGTGCAATTAAGGGTTAGAAATGTAGAAATAACAAAATAGACAGGATGTTTGGATAAAAACTAATGTGATGAATAATTGTTTATGCAATCAGGGATTAAATATGTAGAAATAGTAAAATGACAAAATAAACACTAAGTTCGGGTATGAAAATATGGTAGT